GTTTTATACCGTTTTTTCAATCTCACGGCTTTGTTATTGCAAATTTCGTAATCGGACCACCGCCATTTTGTAGCTATTTTTATTACGAACAAAATCATGTCCTAAGCATTTTTTCGTACATTCATCCCGCTGAGTTATTTAATGAAAACTACTAAAAAAAAAAATTTTTCACGATTAAATTGTTAATAACTTTTTTTCCTGATAAAATACTTTGTCAGCCAATTAGCCTGTTATTGTACTCATCATTTAAAGTAGACCTGTGCAGTTATTTCCGGGTTATCAAGGTTTGACACAAGCCGAATCTCTACCAACTGGACTATAGATTTAATTAATTATAACCAAATTTTTTGTCAATTTTGTCTATGTAATTGCTATTCTGAGAATTTTGATGTCGCTGAGTATTTCGGAAATTGTGAAGTGAAGTTCATTCCCTTTAGTATTTCTAACAAAAAAGATATCTTTTATTTTATTTGTAAAACAAGTTCTTTTCGAGTGTTTATTGTTTAAAATTTGAAATAAACCTGCAACATAGTTGAATAAATCGAATATAACTTCAAAACTATTAATCTCACAAAAAAAAATTGAAATTATTTACAAATACAATTTCAAATACATACAATTTGACCAGCGACATAGTTTTGTAAATGGCAGGTTTAGTGCACTCTATTACAGAAATATACAGGTTTCTCTTGTGGAGCTTTGGAAGAAAAGGCGCAAATAGATGCTATTTATTCTCCAAGGCTTCTGACAAAATCAACTGTGAATTGCTTGTTCATCATTTGGATAGGTGAGGGTTCTTAGATTTTTTATTATTATGGTACGATTCATATATTCAAGAAAGAAATTTTCATTTCATGCGCTCCCAACCAGGCAATATGTTATATTTATATTCCTTATCAGATTATTGACAACTAAACTAAAAATGTATCTAACAGTTTATTAATTGTAATATTCAGTAAGTATAATAATTTTTTTTCTTTGACCCCTGTTAAATGCTGTTGTGATACTTTGGATTTTTTATAGAAAACGATGCTGCTGCAAGAAGATATTGGACGATATCCTGACCAACAAGTACTGAATAAGAAAATGTTTGTAGATTGCTTTAACATTTAAGAGGTTATGAAAGTTTTTGGATTCTGTCGCTGAATTGCCTTTTTCTCGTAAAATGAACAATAAGAACATTCAACTTTTCTTAATAACATATTTCTGTATTTTTATAAATTTAACGGAAACGCATAATTTATTGAAAAATAACAAAACTATTCTATGTATTGTATCCATAACAACATACCTACACTGATATTTATTTATAAAAAAGTCCTTGTCACAGAACTTTTTAATAATGTTGACTCTAGAACAATGAATTTATTTAGTTAAATGTTACGATATAAGTGAAATATATATAAATATAAATATGCAATTGAACTTTTCAATAGAAAATATCCCGAGGTATACGTTTCAGTGAACTGTGTTCGAGAGTTGATTGTGAAGTTCGATAACACTGGGGATGTGAAAGATATAAAAAAACCGAAACGGATTCATGATGAAAATGATACGGCTACATTGCTTGCAATTGATTCGGTAAGAAATGATCCCAAGAAATCACTAAGAAAAAGGTCACTAGATAGTAAAAGCCATTTGCAGAGAATTCTGAAAGATATTAAAATACATTCCTACAAACCAGTCCAACGCCTTTGGTTTAAAATTTTGTTATGTTAATTGGGGAACAAATTATGTTAGATTTTTCTACAGAAGGATTTTCCAACGAGTCAACATTTACTAGAATGGGGTTGTTAGTTACCATAATTGTAGGCACTGGTTGGAAGATAATCCAAATTTCTGTATTATAAATAAAAGTCAACGATATAAAAAAGTAAATGTTTAGTGTGCGATACGTTATAAAAAAATTATTGGACTATATTTTTTCGATGTAAACGTATATCAGAATAGTTACATAGAGACGTTGGAAAACTTTTTAATGCCTGCTCTGGATGATATAAATATACTGGACAGAAGAAATCTGTATTTTCAACATGATGGTTGCCCTGCACACAGTGCAATTAGTGAAAGAAACTGGTTAGATCAGCATTTCCATAATAAATGGATAGGACAGTTTGGTCCTATAAGATGGCCTGCACGCTACCCAGACATAACCCCTCTTGATTTTTTTTTATAAAGATACTTGA